CGCCACTTCTGCTTTCTTCCCTAAGCGTCTCACAGTCTCACGCTGCTTTCTCTAGTGTCTCTCCATCATTAGCCGTAACAACCGCATGACAATGTATTTCATTTAAAATGTTTTGAAAAGGTTCTTGAGGCTGACACAAGGACAGCAGCCTCTGTGCTCTCTCTTTGCTGCACACTAAGATCCTTCCCAGTGGCCCCTCTCCATTAAAGCCCTGATTTTTATCTGTATCTTTTTCATTTTGGTTAAACCTCTTTTTTAAGATTATAATTTTCCATTTCTCTTCCTATGTAGAGAAAAACAGACATATCTCTCTCCTGACTTTCTCTGCCCTGGATAAAAATCACATCTCTTAGATGTTTATTGGTATCATGTGAAACATAAGCTTTTAAAATGACAAATAACTGGAGAAAATCTAATTACACAGAAGCAGAAAGAGACATGATCAATATATTTAGATACTATTCTATAAAACTCCCAGATAGCTTTGTATCATTGATTCTATCCCACAGCTTCAATAGGAAAACAAATCAGAAAGAATTCTGGCACAATGTAGAGATCAATACAAACACAGGAGGTAGGTAAATTAGTGACCATAACCAAAATATAATTCCTCTTTTGTGCTTTAAAAAGTTATAGTTATGGGCTTTGGCTATCATACAAATGCTCACAGGTATTGTAAGTCAATTTATAGTAAGTTATTTACTCCTTATTTGTTAGAGATGGAAGAAATCAGAAATGCTGGCACCAGAAAATCAGAAGAAGGAGACAGAAGCATATATGTTTTCTTTATTGCAATGACAAGCAGAATTTTTGTGTTATGTTTGAATGAACTTTCCATTCCTGTATTTATTTCAATCTCTCACCCCTAGGATGTAGGTAAAAACTTCAGAGAAGCCTAGGCTGGGGGTAAAGGCAGTAGTATCCATTTTCTTATGCTAGGAAGGAAAAAGGTATAGCAATTGCAGATTCACACAAATCTCCTTTCACTTACAGAATAGGAATTTTATGATGCTCAACCTAAACACTGTGGCTTCACATTTAGGATTTTATAAACAGACAGTCTAGGCTTCAGGATGCCTTTGGATGAGTCTCCAGGGTTTTCAAAGAGGCTACAGAACTTTCTCTAGGCTACTAGAGAACTAGTAGGATATGTGCTATCTTCCCAGCTTCAAGAACTCAGAAAATGCATCAGAGTAGAGAAAAAAAGCTCTATTTTTAATAAACACTGGCAAAGCCATAATCAGGTCAGGGATGACCAGAATTCTGTCACAAGACACCCAAATTTAGAAAGCACAGGTTTAAGCATCTCAGCAAATTTCCACACCAACTCTCTAGTCTCAAGGCTACTAGCTCGACCCCGGAGCCAGGCCAGCTTCCTTGGTAGTGGACAGAGATAAAGAGTGCTGGAAAGCCAAGGCCAAGGGCAGAGACTTCTCTGCCCCTTTGTATCCGGAAAGCGTGGGGACTGTGGCGTTGTTCTTCCTTCCGACTTGCCTCTTCCTTGTCCCAGCACTCAATTCACTGAAGCTGTCAAAATTGCTCCTTGTGTTTAGTTGTTGTTACTGCTCACTTTGTAAGAGGCTTGACCTATGTTGCAGGTGCCTCGGAGTTGTCTGCACACTTCCATCCCTGCTGTGTGCCCACTAAAATCAGATCATCGCAGAGGAAACCTCTACACTGGGAAGATGAAGAAATAAAAAGCACAGTATTGGGGCTTCCCTGGTGGCGCAGTGGTTGAGAGTCCGCGTGCCGATGCAGGGGACACGGGTTCGTGCCCCGGTCCGGGAAGATCCCACATGCCGCGGTTCGGCTGGGCCCGTGAGCCATGGCCGCTGAGCCTGCGCGTCCGGAGCCTGTGCTCCGCAACGGGAGAGGCCACAACAGTGAGATGCCCGCGTACCGCAAAAAAAAAAAAAAAAAAAAAAGCACAGTATTGTTCTCAACACTTATTCCTCTACATGCTCATCCTCAAGTTCCCACAAACGTCCTTATAGCTCTTGATCTTTGAAACTCTACAGACAGAGAGCAGTTATTACCTGGTTCTGGTGGGAAAGTTTTTATACAACACAGTAAGAATTTCCTGAAGCTTTCAGTGGACTGTGATATTTTTTCCTCTTAGGTCCCTCCTAACAAGGATTTATCAGTTAAAAATTTCACAAAGTCGGTATTTTTAAACATAGAAATGAAAACTCTAGGTGGCTGATTTTCAAAACAGAGAAATAGGAGGTGGTATAGAATAAAATTACAACCTACCATAGTTGCCAAGAAGAAATGTTACTGATATCATTTCTATTTGAAATTATCTGTAACATTCCTGTAAATCTTTTGACTAACCTCAGAATACTTTTGGCAAATTCAGAGTCCTAGGATTTTCCCAGTTATTTTCCATGTAGATATTTAAGCCATGTTGCCCATTGCTTCAGGTACAAGTTATATTTAACCTAAACAAGGTTTTTAACCCAGAAAAGGGCATAAATCATCACAAAGCCAAACACAGAGTACTGTTTGAACATCTGTCACTTTGGATCATTGGATCATTTTGGATCATCTGCCCTTGTTAAAATAGCTAAAAGTGAATTCTATAGAAACAAAATCCAGGAAGCACTCCTTAACTTCCTGTGTTACTTACAGTTTAGATGCACAATGTTGTATAAACTTGGTCAAATACTCTATATAAAGCACATGTGTCCAGTGTCCTCTTCCATATAAAAATCTTTCATACTTTCAAAATTTCATAAAAAATCTTTCATACTTTCAAAATTTCATAAAAAATTACTTTTGTTATGGAATGACTTAATCCTTTAGCCATCTTTATTTGACCAAAGTCTAATTAAAATCAAACAGAGGTCATCCTTACTCATGATCCTTAACATCAGTGCAATTCTCCAGTTGGAGCTAATAAAAACAAAAATTCACAACAGGTCCTCATTTTCAGTCTCTTCAACCCCTCTTTTATCCCCATGGAGCAACCTAATTTTTGTCACTAAAAAGCAATTTAAAAATTACACTGATGTCAGAGGGTGACACCTTCTCTTGGCAGATGTATCAAAAATGATGAAATACTTTCATATTAAATGTGTCTGCCATAACTTGAATCTCTTCTGAGCTGCATCTTAAAGGTCAGTAATATTAAAATGTAATCAACCAAATTTGACAAAGAAAGAGGTCCAATGCTGAAGGTCTCAATTTCAAATAAACAAAATAAAAGAATGGGAGTTTAAATTCAACTTCTTGATGTGGCACATATATACAATGGAATATTACTCAGCCATGAAAAGGAACGAAATTGAGTTATTTGTGGTGAGGTGGATGGACCTAGAGTCTGTCATACAGAGTGAAGTAAGTCAGAAAGAGAAAAACAAATACAGTATGCTAATGCATATATATGGAATCTAAAAATATGGTACTGATGAACCTAGCGGCAGGGCAGGAATAAAGACACAGACATAGAGAACAGACCTGAGGACATGGAGGGGGTTGGGAGGGGAAGATGGGACAAAGTGAGAGAGTAGCACTGACATATATACACTACCAACTGTAAAATAGATAGCTAGTGGGAAGCAGCCGCATAGCACAGGGAGATCAGCTCGGTGCTTTGTGATGACCTAGAGGGGTGGGATAGAGAGGGTGGGAGGGAGACGCAAGAGCGAGGAGATATGGAGATATATGTATACGTATAGCTGATTCATTTTGTTATACAGCAGAAACTAACACAACATTGTAAAGCAATTATACTCCAATAAAGATGAAAAAAATAAAAAAGAATTCAACTTCTTAAGAGTAATAGAGTATGCCAGAGTACTCTGAAAGATAATTCTAGAAAGATCCTCACTTAGGAAAACACATATTTCAATAAGGATGGGTATATATAACTTTATGCTACACACACGTACACACACACAGACACTCAAAACTCCTAGGTTTAGATACATCTATCTAACCACAGAAAAGGGAATATGTACGCCATACCTAAGGATTATCACTATAAAATAATGCCAAACTGTAACCTACTCTAAGAAAATATTCTCATTAAATTGTAGTCCTGCTTTGAGTGATGTGAGCATGTATGTGTATCCTTAACTGAAGACAATACGGAACAATCAAAATATCACTTTGGTCTAATCCAGGGTTTCTCAGCCTTGGCACTATTGGCATTTTCAAGTGGGGAATTCTTTGCTGGGGGGGGCAGGGTGCGCTGCTCCGTGCATCGTAGGATGTTTAGCAGGATCCCGGGTCTCTAGCCACTAGACGCTGGCAGCACCCTCCAAATCATGAAATCAAAAATGTCTCCAGGGCTTCCCTGGTGGCGCAGTGGTTGAGCATCTGCCTGCCAATGCAGGGGACACGGGTTCGAGCCCTGGTCTGGGAAGATCCCACATGCCGCGGAGCAGCTAGGCCCGTGAGCCACAATTACTGAGCCTGCGCATCTGGAGCCTGTGCTCCGCAACAAGAGAGGCCGCGATAGTGAGAGGCCCGCACACCGCGATGAAGAGTGGCCCCCACTTGCTGCAACTAGAGAAAGCCCTCGCACAGAAACGAAGACCCAATACAGCCATAAATAAATAAAAATTAAAAAAAAAATGTCTCCAGACATTGCCAAGTGTCAGCAGACGGGGGAGGGGAATCACCCCATTAAGAAGCCCTGATCTAATGACACTTTATCGATTTGGGCCATTTCTGTGTTGCCTTTCAGAAACCCCAAATGTATAGACTAACCACTGTACAAACCTATTGCATAAACATAGCCCAGGAATCATAAGATGTAAAATTTCCAGAAGGCGTCTCCAATGGAACTGTGACACGTGCGTTCTATGGAGCTCATTAGTTACACCTGAACAGTTTTAATACTTAAAGCACTAATCTGAGTGATACATATTTTATTAACTTTTATGTACGCTTTTTGTTAGGCCTTTTATATTTTGATGAAACATATACCTAAAAATATATTTCTTTTTAAGGTAGTTATTAAGTAATAACAATAGCTCAAAAGAGGAAATATATTCAGGGTTGTACACACAGTGAATATTTAATGCAACTCCCTCATAGTACATTCTCATTACATTTTTGCTGCCAAATAGGATCAAAAGAGCAAATGAGATCTGCAGAGAACCAATACTCTCAAATTCTTAACTTTCTAAGTATCAACAGACTCTGTGTTACGTCAACCAGCTGTATTTTAACTGCTGATCTCTATAATAATCTCAATATTCAATTATCTTTAGAAATTGGCTATTCCAATGATGTAGAATTTTTCCAAGGGCTTTGTTATCTCAGTATCTTTTAAATTAACCCACCCAAAACTGCCACCTGTTTAACTGTTTTAGTCTATATTGTATACCAAGTCTCTACCATTAAAAATGAAGCAGAACTTTTGGGTACAGTTTACCTACATTTTGGTGACACTTAAAAGTAAAGTTAGTGATTTCTACTGTCTCCTTTTAGATTAAGGCATCCCAAAGCCCAAAGACCATGTGAGGTTTCTTCTCCCTTTCTCTTATATGTAAACACATCTGACTGCTTGTAATCTGTCAACAGAGTTTGTGTGCAGTTGTGTCGAAGTTGAGGTAACAAGCCTTCTAAGCAGTCCTACCTGTTACTAAGGGAATAAACAGCTACTAATTCACATCCCTTTACTGGTGTGAACCATGCCTTGATGACCATGCTTAACACAGCACTTACTCATGAGATGCTGGGAAGAGTCACATTGACTAAACCAATTCTGCTCATTTGGAGTGATTTGGGGGTAAGGCTTGCATCTCATACTGGTTTGAGCATTACAGCAGCATGCAGTAAGCTGGCTTCTCTCCTATCAAGGTGTAGTAGGTAGTACCTAATGCATTTGTAGCTCTCCAACACCAGTTACAGATTTTTGCCATCCCAGGTCACGTGGGTTCGGCTTTCATAGTCACACAGGAATGAGCTTTGTTTAACAGTGTGTGTGTGAGAGACTATGTATGAGGGTACACAAATATATGCATTCTCTTATGTGTGCATGCATATTCTTTATCTTGGAGGGAACATACCATGGCAGATAGAAAAGGATATGCCTTCCAATCTATCTTCCAGAGACTAAGCTTTATGTCATTGTGCTTTACTTCATCTCCAAACATTAAATTATGAAGACAATTCTGCCAATTTGCAAATAAATAATGCACTCACATTTGCAGTTTTGGGCACTAAAATAATAATAATGCAAACAGGTTACATAATGCACACCTAAAATTGAGTTTATGCCCTAAATTCTGAGGAGGGAAAGTGGCTCTTCATCCTGACAATGAATCAACCCAGACTAAATTCAACAATGCTTCACATCGTCTAAGTAGACCTGACAAAAGGGGAGGAGGTCATTCTTACTTAACGTTTTTTAAATGGAAGGGAAGGGAACTCTAGTTAACATAGACTTGGTTCAACACATCACAATAATCAGCTGTAGCATTTTGGGTCCATATTATTCAGTAAGGGATTTTTAAAATCTACCCCATCACCTACTCACTGCCCTTAAATAAGGCAAAAATAAATAATAATTTTTTAAAAACCTATAGCTCTAATGTTAGTCTTAATAAGATAGTTTTCTTTTAATTAAGCCAGTTCATGTTGATAATCACTAACACTTTTATCCCGGCATTTCATTTACTATACCTTGATTAATTCCTCAGCTTCAACCATTAAGAGTTTTGTCTTGTTTGTGAACTGGGTCATCTCTATTTGAAGCATGAAAGTGTGCTTTACCAACATCATTTCATCAGCATGTTACTAGTTGCATATCCACCATGTGCTATAAAAGATTTCATAGGACATTTCACTTCTTTTTTTTCCTTCCAGCCAACAGTAAAAGTAGAGTTCCCCTTGAGTTTTTGTTGTCGTTTTTTCCAAGTGGCCCACGCAAATCCATGAAACGACCTGACCATTCCCTATTGGAGTCACGTAGAAAACCTAACAAAAATACCCTGGCTCAGTCCTTTCTTTTTCCACAGTCCCTAGGAAGTGGGTGGCAGTGAGGTGTCCTCACATGGGTCTAACTGCATTCTCAGTGCACCAATTTTATGAAGATACCAGAGTTGGAGAAATTCCTCCGGCATGGCATGGAAGCCAGAAAAGGGCAGGACATTATCATAGTAGTGGTGGCTGATGGGTTGTTCATGCATATTCACAGAGAAGGGCCAGAAGCCATAGATGGCCACCTCTTCACAGAGGCCCAGGGCCGCGCTCACCAGAAAGAGTCCTGTGGACAGGCGCTTGGCATGAATTCCCCTACTTTTCCAGAACTTCCCAATGCTACGCAGAAAGTTGGGGTTGGCAAAGAGCACTGTTTGATTGGCACCAACATCTGACAGTGTGTAATAAACCCGGAGGGATGGCTCTGTTCCCGTCTTCATAGAAAAGGCAGGCATGTAGATGTAACTGTGGTTATACACTTTCATGTGGTCCACAAACGTCTTTCTGGACCATAGCAGGTTCTGAAACCTATCAAAAAGAAGAAGCTCAATTAAACCTGGAGAAAAGAAACTCATCAATACCCACTCTACCGTTCTTCTGATGGCCCTGATAGCTCATATCATCTCAGCAAAAAACAAGAAAAACACTTCTCTTGTATTTAAAATCCACCTTGAACTTACCAGTTCTCTCTCATCAAGCAGCCTGACTTTTCCCCACCGCAACATCTTAAGCTCCAGTTAAGATTCTTTAATGAGATGCCCTCTGAACTAAAATGCATTGTACATTTTTGTTCTCTTTTAGAATTTACTTGCCTGGAATGTAAAAATGATTTAATATTCATGAATTCACAAAGATTGTTGGTTGTTGGATAGGCTTTTGATAAAAGCTACTTGTGTGGTAGACGTAAGCACAGGACTGGTTTTCTCATCTGCAAATCAAAGGAACCACTTCTAAGATACTTCTTACCATTGAAATTCTATAAGTATGCAGCTTAATCAGTGAATGCTATATTATAATACTACATGGAAAAAGAAAGACTTGTCTCTATTATAAAATGCTACTAAGAGTTGCCCATATTGCTTGCTCCAATGCTTTCCTATGTTCTTTCAGTTTGGATTACATAGAAAGAGGATCTCTGATTCAAATGTATTCAGCTAAAATTAATGATACACATCCTATGCATCAGGCATTGGGGAAGTAAAATTTTAATGACCCAATTTTTGATCTCAGGAAATTCCAGTCCAATTGTGAAACAAAAATATAAGTGAGCACAATATAATGTTCTAAGTACAACCGTTGATATTTGTATAAATTACTATGGAATACAGATGAAAAAATAATTCTGCCTTGGGAGACAGAGTGGGTTCCAGGAAAGCTACAGAGAGGGGATGACATTTAAATACATCTCCTTAGGGGAACAACAGGAAGAACAACCACTAAACTATAAAGGACACTTTGGTCATAGGCAAGGGTGCAGTGTCCTGAAACAATGATGAGTATTCTGTGTCCCTGGAACGAGCGAGACAGGGATTGTGGAGGCAGTGATGGGAGATGAGGTATGTTGCAAAAACCCTTGTGTCTCTAATTTGTTTGAGCTGCACTCTGTGATGACTGAGAACCTTCACAGAAGTGAGTACTTAGAGCACTTACTATCTGGATTACGAATATTTCATCATTTGTTTAGTTGCCAATCTGTGTCAAAAAAAGTGACTCTGGTGATCTGGGGAAGGAAGAGGCTGGTGGCCTGGAGACCAGTTAAGAGGCTGCTGATGTAGCTCAAGTGAAAAAAGACAAAAAGACAGTGAGTGCCTTGTAACTTCTTGTTCTTTCACAAATGGAAGTCACCTGTCTTGGGTTACGTGCAGGTGAAGAAGCAGCATTTGAGAATGGAATTGGGCCACTACCAGCAGAGGGAAGTCTGGCCTGACAGGTTGGCAGGGCTCATCAGAAATATGTGAAACTGAAACTCTGAATACACAAATCCACAGGATTTTATGTCGCATTCAGTGTTATGAACTCTGCCTGCCAAGAAAGATGTTCTTCTTAAGCCCAAAGGAAGGGAAATTCCTCAAGTTTTCTTCATGTCCTCGATTCAGCAGCCTGCCTTAGCAATTTTCCCTGGGCTCTGACAGAGAAGTGACAACAGGGTTTTTAGGTGCAATAACTTTACCCTAAAAGAAGGCATGGAAGACACTGATCCGTACTGTGGAGCTGGGCTAGCCTCTCCAACACAAACTCCTGCTTCCCAACTTCAATAGGCTCTGCTTAATAATTCTTTTATTCTCTCCATTGCCCGCCCACATTTGCTGCTCACGAACACTTTCCCAATCGTGTAGATACACCCTGCAGATAACTTCCTACTTCATCTGAACTATGGTTCTCAAACTTTAGTTAGAATAACCTGTATCACAGATTCCTAGATTCTGATGAGAGTGATACAGGGAGTTGAATTTTTACCCAGCATTCCCTGCTGATTCTGATGCACGTGTCTGGAGGCTATACTTATTTAGAAGATCGACACCATCAATGTAAGCTATCTAACTCTCTGCACCTTTCCCTCAGCATCTCTTTCTTTACATCTTCTAATTTTGTCCTTGCTCCTTCTTCCTCTCTGAGTCTTCTCCTCTGTGAAACAGGCTGTTTCACACTCCCTAGTGGGTCTCCCCTCTTTAAAACAATCAACCTCTCCATCTCTACTGAATTATTCCCTTCTATCTTCTAAACATGGCTCTAACTTAATAAAAGAAAATTCAGCATATGCCTAGAGTGTTCCCAGAGCTACCCTCTAGTTCTCTCATTTCACCATCAACATCCTAGAACAGTTATTACACTTCTGCTTATTCCCTTTCTTGCCTCCATTCCCTCCTTACTGCTGTGCAGAATGGTTTCTATTCCACAGGGCTCTTCTGGCTGAAGGAACTTCTCCTTATTTTTGTAGTGGACTACATACTAATGAGAATTACAGACAGCTCCAATAAAATCAAGGCAATTGATTTTATGTTCCCTGTCTTAAAGCTGACTGATTATTCTTGAAGAAGGTAGTTTTCCTTCCTTAAGTTTTAACTTTGAAAAGGAACACACATCTTGGATTTACTGTACTCCTAATTTTATTGGCATGGTTAAAAAACCAGCTTATATATTATGTTTTATTATTTTTATCTACCTCATTCTTCAGAATAGCTCAGAATTGTTCTATACTGTATGAATGGAAAACTATTAAATAATAATTGAAAAAGAAGAAAAATGAAACTGACCAGTCAATAAAGTATTAAAAATAGAAGTGATTAATATATAAAGAATATGGGCACACAATAGAAAAATATAACACAAAGTACAGAAATATAGCACATTTTACAAATGAATTTAATATGTGATAATAGAAACGATGAAATTTTTTAAATTAGTTAATAAACAGCGTCAAGATAACTAGTTAACAATTTGAAAATTTGAGGGGGGACAGATTCATACTTGACAAGAAATTTTTTTAAAATTTCAAGATACGTAAGATAAATATTTAAAGTCTACATAAAGAAAACAAGAAAAACTAACGAAAACAATTGTGAACTTATCATTTAGAAAATATCTTCTACAAAGGAAAATATTGACAAAATTGATTATGTTAAGATGTGAAATTTCATTACGACAAAAAAGAACATAACTGAAATAAAAAAAGGAAATGACTCCAAAAAATATTTTCAGCCAACATGACAGACAGAATGTTAATACTGACAACATTATAGTCTAAATATATTGGTATATTGACATGAAAATGGACAAAAATACAGACAATAAAAGGGAATTGTGATTAATAAAAGGTTAAAATGTTCAGCTTCAGGTTGCCAGTCAAGGTGCAAACTGAATAGAATCAGGGAAGGTGAGGGCCCAGCTCTCCCCCCAGCAAATCTCTAGAAATAAGAGAAAAGATGTTTTTTAAAAAAATCTACCTTTATCCTAAAAAAAAGAAAAGTAGGCAAACCTTCAGTCAATCCCCACATCTGGAATACTTCTGAAAACAGAAAGCTTACAGGAGGAAGGCAGAACATAAACTAAGTTGCCAAGCATTACTCTAAAAGGTAGCTGTGCCCTATTCCTAAAGGCAGGAGATACTGGAGAAGGTGGGTGTCTTGGAACAATCAACAAGGTTATTGTTCAGATTATAGGGCAGCAGGAACATGCAGGTGGGTAGAACCCTAAAATCCTGCACTGGCCAATTATCACTGTGTGTAGTGGAGAGGTAGTGTCAGCCTCTAGGGAGGAACAGTGGCTGTGTGCCCAGATGATACCTGGCCCAGCCAACAGGAAACTGGGGATTCTTTTCAATTCATACAGTGTTGGCAGCCAGGCCAATGGAGGGCCAAGAGAGAGACCTGTAGATTATGACACTTGGGAGTCACCCAAGAGAAAGCCACCTTGCCACCTTCTGTTCAACTGAGAGTGAAGTCCACCTGTCAACAGGTCCAGTCCCTGCACAGAGCTTCCAGTCTCCAAACAAGAACAGATAGTCAAGATCAGAAGACATTGAAGGAAAGCCTCCAACACGAAAGTCAGAGAACAGAATGGAAGAACGAAAGAACTCAGAAAAAAACAAGATCATTAAAGAGGCAGAAGAAAACTCTTAAAAGTCTATAATTAGTTTGTTTAGAAATATTAATTATTAATTAATATTTGCATCCATGAACTAAGACTTAGATGCTATAAAATGAAAAAAAAAATTAGGTAATAAGAAAGAGCTGTTAGTAATTAGAACATATAACAACAGATGGATTCTGGTAAAGGAAATCTCCAGGAAGACAGTTTACACAGCAGGCTGAGAAAGCCATCAATCAGATTCTATGAGAGAAAAAGATAGTTTCTAAAAGGATGTTTATACATAGAGAATCCTAAAGATGCTACCAGAAAACTACTAGAGCTAATCAATGAATTTGGTAAAGTAGCAGGATACAAAATTGCACAGAAATCTCTTGCATTCCTACACACTAATGATGAAAAATCTGAATCAGAAATTAAGGAAACACTCCCATTTACCATTGCAACAAAAAGAATAAAATACCTAGGAATAAACCTACCTAAGGAGACAAAAGACCTGTATGCAGAAAACTATAAGACACTGATGAAAATAATTAATGATGATACAAATAGATGGAGAGATATACCATGTTCTTGGATTGGAAGAATCAATATTGTGAAAATGACTCTACTACCCAAAGCAATCTACAGATTCAATGCAATCCCTATCAAACTACCAATGATATTTTTCACAGAACTAGAACAAAAAATTTCACAATTTGTATGGAAACACAAAAGACCCCGAATAGCCAAAGCAATTTTGAGAAAGAAAAACAGAGCTGGAGGAATCAGGCGCCTGGACTTCAAACTATACTACAAAGCTACAGTCATCAAGACAGTATGGTACTGGCACGAAAACAGAAATATAGATCAATGGAACAGGATAGAAAGCTCAGAGATAAACCCACACACATATGGTCGCCTTACTTTGATAAAGGAGGCAAGAACATACAATGGAGAAA